GCAGCTTGGTCTGCATCAAGCGAATGAAAAGCAGGCGTTCAGTTTCGACTTTTGCATACATATCAACAATGTAATGATGAAGCAATTGCCGGCATTTCAAAAGGGGATTACTTACATTCTGTCGAATCATAAGTCGGTACGAGTAGTGGTTCATTGCGCTGCATTTCGTGTGCGTTTCCTCGTCACTGACTGGGTTTATCATCTTAACGTTGAAGTAATACCCATCGGCACCATCCCGTAAAGAAAATAGATACTGCCTTTAAATCGGTCTCGGACTACCGATATATATGCTATCACCTTACCCTAAAATCATTAGTCTTCCAACGGTGGCTTTCGTACCGTCGTTCACAACAGCATCACGCAGCGTGAACGCTGATCACCGACTCGTGTTTGACGCTGGTCTGCTGTTCCTTGCTGGCGCCATTCAGCCACTCTCAGTTTGTTGTGTTCATCCTGTTATGAACGGAGCAGACCTGGAGCTGCCGAACGCGGTGGCCGTGACCGCAAGCGGGCTTCCGCAAGCCGGGCTGCACGACACTGGGTGACAGCCCCATTATGTGGGTTGTGCGTGGGGAGGGGGGAAGGGGGCCTTGTTAACCGCACCCAGTCGTCGCGCCCGAGAATCCCAGCGGAAGCGGCCGCAGCCCAATTATGTGGGTAGTGTGGGGCAAGTTCAAGTGGAGCCCAAGAGTTGCGTTTTTTGCTGCAGGGTGGGTGGTTTGCCTACCGGCCCAGATTGCATCGCCCCAGAGAGGGTGGAGGGCCTGCTCAAGTGTCTGCTGGGGGTGGGTGGTGGGGTGAGCGCGGCTGTCGGGCAGAGAACGTGCGTTTGAGCGAATGTCGGTCAAGTGGCCGCAGTCTGGCGCACATGTGTCCGCGCGGATGTAGGTCAAGTGGCCGCAGCAGGTGACGTCGTTAGGCCGGAAAAAATCCAGTTTTTTACCCATCACAGTCATACCATCGGCATAATTACACAACTGACCAGCCAAAAACCCGGCCCTATGCGCGGGTCGGCTTGTATCCAAATTTCAGCGAAATCGGTGCAGTACTTTCGGCGATTAGATATAACACAGAAAAAAAAAACCTTCCATTTTTATATATATAGATTTGAAAGGCACCTGCCGCCAAGCAGATAATGGTGACCCTCTCCATCGGCTATTCTATTCGTTTTGAGTCCTAGTGCGACGCACTTAAGGTT